AGAGGCACCATGCTGCTATTGTTGGTTTCCCCTGGTTCATAGAGTCGAAGTAGCTTATTCAAATACATGATGACAAGCAAGCTCAAGTTCCGAAGCCGACTTTCTGATGTATAAACGATGGACTGACCGGAAACTCTTGACTCTGATCTCACCCAAGGATCGCCACACCATGATGATCCACTGAACTCTATGTTCAAATGATTGATCTGGAGCGAGTGACATGTTTGAGGACGGCGGGCTCTCGAATTGATGGAATTATTGCCTTGCGATTTGGCCGTATACGTGTTGGAATACTTCAATAAAAGTGACAGCTACCAATGGAGCGACTGATGGAGAAGGGGGCTAGCAGGATCGCTACAAATAAGCAAGCGCGAAGGCAGTATTTTATGCGTACCATTGCCGAAAATACTTATTCCGAAAAGACACGATGCTGGCAAAGATCTCATTTGCTTCGAAACAGCTTTGCTAAAGGGGGCATTATGAAGGCAGCCCCTTTCAATTGACGATCGATCATGCTTGCGGCTTGGGCTATGCAGTTTCTCGAGAAGGTTATACTAAATGCGCATATCTCAACTCCATCGGGATAGAGAAAGCAGGCAATGTAAGAACAAATTGAGAATAGGAAGATCCCCGATAAACTAGTTGAGCTGATGAGCCTCGACAGAATCCACCTGTCTCCAAGTCCTAGTAACCGACCATGAAGCCGCCTGCCGTCTCTAGCCATGTTCTGTTGTTGAATCTCGAGGTACACCCATGCGAGCGTGGTGAAAGAATGAGAACAAGACTTCGTTCAAAGGACGGAAATCCCGAGAGCGAAAAGATTTCGAAAGGACCCCTGACTCCCGAAGCCAAACCACCACAAGCAAAAACGGACATTTTGTCTTTTGAAAGACCGAATGTGCTGAAGACCACATATTTATCATGTAGAGACACAGCCTTACATATTGCGTAGGCGTGTGCTCGCTTTCTCGCTTTCGGTCTACATCAGAGGACCAGGAAACCCAACTTCACAAGTGAATAGGCAATCACGTTCTGGAAGGAATCGATAAGAATGATCCTCACCATCTTCCACCCTAGAAAGCCTGGGGATTCCTTGATTTCCCCTCTTTTACAAATTCTTGAAGCTGTCACTCAGCCGGGGCTGCCAGCATCCTCCAATGGGGGAGACGGAATCAAAGTCTATTGGCGTCTAGTCGGAGCCTGGACCTAAAGCCAAAATCTGGGAAGGATCTCAAAGGTGTCATTCGAGATACTAACTAGGCGGAAGCACGACTCCGTTATCTGGTTGCCAGCGCTATTTCCGGATGTCCTGCTAATCTCGGTTGAGGCCATGCCGTTTTTGGAAGGTGAATACCAAACAAACTTTCGACGGGGCATTTGTGTTGTTCCTTTTTGTTTCAATCTCATCTTCGTTGTCGCAAGCTCAAAGTTCCATGGTGAGGGGACTCACGAAGTCAAAATCCCGACGACGAGTCATGCTGCTTCCAGAACTATACATACATTCGCACAATCGGTCCGCCTCTACCATGATGGTTTTGGACAAATGCGATCAACTCTGAGATAGGCAAGCTTCCTGAAGTAGCATGCCCCGGCCGCCAGCATAACCAAACACCATCTCGTGCGTTGCCGCCAGAGGCATGCCGCTGCCGTTTCGCCAGTTCTTCGTGAAAGGAAGCATTCTCCCTTTCCAGGCGCCGACATGGCAACCGAAATCGAAGCCGGGAATGACATACCTGCTGCTGGCCTGCGTGTTGGTCACAGCTGCTGTGAGGAGAACACCACACGATGCTTATCTGTCGCAATGCTCTGACCTTTAAGTAGATGCAAGGTTACGACGGGGCGATGATGGGCGGCATGAATATTCTGCCGCAGTATAGCGACTACTTTCAGCTGACCACCGCGACTCGCTCGTTGAATATTGCCACTAATTATATCGGAGGGTGTTTATCTGTAAGTCGACCTCGGCCTCCAAAGACAACAACTTGAGATGAGAACATATTCCTCTCGGCTCTCGTGTATAAAGGTCCGAAGACTCAAAACTACAAAGACTAACTGGGCGGAGTGTCTTTGCTGGGGATGGGTAACAGACACCTACAGCCGACGGTTCGGCCTATTTTGGTCCGCCATGATTACAGTCTTCGCAGCCATATTGCAAGCGTCCTCACAGCACATCGCCATGTTCTGCACCGCCCGAGTCATCATCGGCTTCGGTACCACCGCCTCCGTAATATCCGGTTCCGCATACCTCGCCGAGACGCTCCCATGGGACCAGCGCGCGTGGGGCCTCGCCCTCTTCGACGACTGCTTCTACATCGGCGCCTTGACCGCCGCGGGCGTGACGTACGGATCGTTCAAGATCAGCAGCAGCTGGGCGTGGAGGCTGCCGAGTCTGGTGCAAGGGGCGTGGGGGCTGCTCTGCATATCGCTGCTGCCGTGGCTGCCGGAGAGTCCGCGCTGGCTGGTCGATCAGGGACGCGCCTACGACGCGATAATGGTTCTTGCGCAGGTGAATGCTGGAGGAGACACGGCGGATGAGCTGGTACGGCTGCAGTTCCGACAGATTTGCGAGACGATTGGGTACGAACGGGATCCGATGACCTGCAAGGAGGCGGTCCGCAACCGCGGGGCGAGGAAGAGACTAATCATTACAGCATCGTGCGCGCTGATATCCATGCTGACGGGCCATATCGTTTTCATGTACAATGTGGGCAAGATGCTGAGCCACGCCGGCGTCAGCGACGAAGGAACCCAGCTGCTCGTGGTAGGTTGCTCATGAACCGAGATCTCTGACTGGCGATTCTGACGACACACAGAATGTTGGGCTGAACGGCGCATCTCTGGTTGTATCAATTTGCGGAAGCTACTACACAGACAAGAAAGGGGCAAAGTCGGCCGCAATGATCAGCACGGCGGGCGTAACCGTTGCCCTCGTCTTGCTAGGCGTCCTGACCAAGTTTTACGGTGACACCACGTATACCCCCGGAATATGGGCGACGGTTTTTGCGGTATTTCTGTTCTCGATATCGTACGCCTTCGGATGGATCCCCATTCTCTTTCTGATGCCGGCTCAAATGCTATATTTCCGTATCAGGGCTAAGGGCATGAGCATGTTCAGCTTCATTATCTGCGCTGTTGGCATTGCCGGCAACTTCGCCTATCCTATTGCCATCGACGCTGTAGGTTACTGGGTGTATATCATGAACGCTGGATGGAATGTGCTCTTCTTCGCCTTCATCTGGTGGTATTGGGTAGAGGTCCTGGGAAAGACCCTTGAAGAGATTGATGCGCTGTTTGACGGAAGAAAGCATACTGATACGCCAAACGTGGAGGCCGTTGTGGCTGGTCGAGAAGATGAGAGATGGAAGACGAGTCTGGGTGAGTGGATGAAAGAGAGGCTTCCCTCAGGGTCGCCGGTCTCATGCAGATAATCCTTAGTCAAGACAATAGCTCTACTACACTTCCTCTTGCCTAGCGTTTGTTAGAGTATGCTTGAGGTTTAATTCAATAGCCTTACTACAAATCTCTTGCCATTTCCGTAAGACGGTCAGTACTTCCGCCAAATAGTAGGACTGTGCAGTAGCCGTATCCATCTACAATCATTCCCTCCTATAAACTTTTGGACAAAGACGTTTCGATCACCAACACAACGGAGGGGCACCGACCTCTTGCATTAGGACTGAGACCGAATACCTTTGCGACGGGAATTATTAGCCGCAATGACGAGATATGACGAAAACAAACCACGATGATATTATCAACATATGAAGATGAGATCGATGGGATAGCGATATAACCCGTTTCTCATCAGGATACATGCAATTTTCTTGCCTTGAAGCGGTTGAATTTACTGTTGAAAAGTCCAAGAACTCTTATAACCAGTCTCCTTAAATGACTTCACATGCTCCTCATACGGAGGGCGCAGTGATACCCATCCTCTTTCTTGCGCCAAGCACTGTCCAGACTATATATCTTGGACCTTGCAAGCCAAGCTTGCAAAAGAAGGGCCAAGAAACAGTGCAACGTATCGAACCCATAGCTGTCATTTCCTATCACGACTGAAGACTTGCGTCAAGTGTTTGATTCTCAAGCTACGCATAATCACATATCCGCGTTCCTGCTTGAGGGGCTCAGTGCGCTGACTTCATGTTGTCTTAGTCCGGCTTCAGTGACGCCGAAGTATTCATGCTCTTCCCAGGGGACGAAGGTGCTACATCTACGGAAATGCCGCTATTACAAGGAGGCATTCGTTGTCGGCTGAGATTTCGGCATTCAATACCTGACTGTGAGTTTCATGATCTCAGACTCACTCACATTATTGCTACGGGGAGACCTATGATTTTGATTAGCAGCGCTTTCTTAAATACTATTGGCTAACACCAAAATCGCGAGTGTGAACAGCGTCGCTGGAGCGGCAGTCTGCAATCATTTCAGATCGTTCTTAAGACCCCCGATTAGCTATTCATGCCGGAACTCTTCCTACAGTCAGGCGCCAACCCAAAACGTATATAAGCCCCCCAAGCATCGATACCAACAAGCAAGGTAGCAAAGACCCAATAGCCTTAATGCCTTGGTTGCAATGCAACTGGTCTTAACCAACGCTTGTTCATGGCACAATCCGCTGCAACTCACCACAGCACTTCATCTGAGATCCTCAGTCTTAGCCACAGCCGTCAGTGCCTGTCCCCGGTCACTTTCTACGGATTATTCACCGGACACCGACGGAGACGAGACGAATCCCATCGCAGACAACCCAACAGACCCAGGCAAGCCAACAGCAGCAGGAATCGCCAGCAAACGAAGCCATGGCCGTCTATTCGCCGTCTATTCATCCTGGTAGAAAAGCTCCAAGCCTTTAATCTGTCGGCCATAGTCCAGAAATAATCAACCATTGGTTTTATATTCCAGTCCAAATGGAGCCTGAAGACATCTTCACGAATGCACCACGAGCAGGCGCCGCGAATACCCATCTATTCGTTCTATATTCAAACCCCATGCACCTTTCACCGCTGCGCATCATCTGCACTACCATCCCTCTTCCCAAACCTTGCCCCGAATCCGCCGATATCCCTCCTAAAGAACTTGCCAAAGTTCTTCAAGTTCTCATTCATCGTCGCAGGCCCGCCCGCGCCCTGCCCCAGGTCCCTCGTCGCGCTCAGCAGCTTCTCGCCAAGGGACGTCGCGTCGAACTTGGTCTGCAGCCCGGGAATGACGCTGCTGCCCGCAGCGCTCGTCAGCCCCAGCGCGCTCGCGCCCGCCCCGGCGCCGCCGATGACGCCCAGCCCCGAGCTGCCGAGCCCCGTCGTCGCCATGAGCGGCGTGAGCAGCGGGCTCTGCGCGACGAGCTTGTCGCTGAGGTTGCCCTCGCGGTGCATAGCGAAGAGCTCGACGAGGTGGCCCTGGTCTCCCTTGCGCACGCCCTTGAGCTCGAGGATCTTTTTGAAGTTGGTGTCGGAGCGGTCACCGATATGGATGAGGTAGGCCTGCACCAGACCTTCTGGGGGCGACGGGCGGACCTGGAGGGTCTTGAGGAGTGGATCGATGCGGTTCATGGTCTGGTTGACGCGTTTGACGTAGCCTGCTGGCGCGGTGTGCGGTCCGGTGTCCTTGTTGTGGAACGACAAGAGGTTTTCGAACGCTTTGGTCAAAACGTACTTGTCAAGGAGCATCTAGCATGTGTTAGTGACGAACATTGGTGTTGAAGGCAGCAATCTCACCTGTTCAGCGCCAACCTCGGAAACAGGCCGGCATTGGACAATGTTACTAATGTAGGCGGTAACGAGGTGGTCGACCAGGTTGTCGCAGAACGCTCTCGCGTACTGCCCCTTCTCCACGATGGCCAGGATCTCCTCGGTCTTTCCGTTCACTGATGACAGCAGCTCACCAACATATGAGCTTTGATCGCCCACACTCTCCATAGTGCTCCAGTTGGTGTTTCTCATCTCCCGCCAGGCGCCCTCGCACGCGATCTCAACGTTACGGACAAGCGTCAAGACAGCAGCACTGGCAACGCCGAGGAAGGCGTCAGCTTGTGACGAGAAGTCGACCTTGTCGGCTAGGTTGTTGTCGATGCGCTTCTTGATGCTCTCCTCCAACTGTGTTGTGTTTGTTGACCAAAAGTCGGCGGTGTTTAGAACAAGAATGACGTCTTGGATTGGTGGCCCCTGGGGACCTGCCCTTTGCAAGATGTGTAGAAGAACTTGCTGTGCATATTCATCTAGGTATTTCGCCAGAGTCTTGGCCAAGTCAAGCAATCTATCGCTCGTCGATAGTTTGGCGCATTGCGACAGGGTTAGCCTGTAGAAGTGGAAGAGCTCAATCGCAGACGCCATGACAGCTTGCCGAGAGAACTCTTCGTCTTCGGGAATAAGGGGTACAGTGCGGTATTTGGGTATCATGACGGCAAGCTGCTTGTCTTGAGATTCAACCCACAAGCTCAAGTATGGTTCGAAGGCAGCAGAGATGGAGCCGTGGAAGTTCGACGCCCTGTCATCAGCCGAGCTGAGCGTATCGATACTGGCTCTTGGATCCCCAGCAAAGCGCTTCTCCAATCCCTGTTCAAAGTCTAGTGTCTCTTGGAGGCAGCTGAGCAGCAGGTTGACGTCAATCTTCTGCCCATCTGTCTTCCGCATGCTCCTCTCGAGGATCCCCTTGAAGTCGTCTCTCGTTCCGTCGCAGAAGGCCATGGCGAGCATCTCATTTGCGCGCCAGTGGGGCGGGAATATCACAGCGTGCTCCTCTTCGTGCGTCTTCAGCATGCGCTTGAACCACGCATATCGCCGACCAATGTTGTCGAGGTTTCCGGCTTCGTCGTTGCCCCTGAACACTTGGCGGTACTCGCGCAGCTCCGTGTTGACGTACCAATTCATCAACCGCGACCGCGCCATATCACCCAAGGCATCCATCACCAAGCAAGCCTCGACCAGGGTGCCCCTCCGCTGAGCGACCTCCCCCTTGGCGAATGCGATCTCAAAGTCCTCACAGACCTGTTCCAGCAGCTCCCGCTGCAGTTCCGAGACGCCTCTGCTCAGGGTAGCAATCTGCTCGATACTCCTGTAGCTGTTGAAGTGCTTCATAAGCTGCAGCACAGCCTGCAAGAGACTCGCGCATTCCCTGTATTGTCTCGTCTTGGCCAGGCCGCGGAGTTGCTCGTATGCGGTCGTCAGCATCTGAAGCCGTTTCAGAGCCGTCATGCTCAGAGTGAGGTTCCGCTTCGTGCCGTCGAGTCGCTTAATGTCGGCCGTCATGGAGGTGATGTTCTGCTCGGTCTGGATGGCGCGCGACCGCACCGTCTCGATCTTGCGGAAGAGCTGGGCTAGCTCGGCCTGGGCGGACTGCATGCGCTCGAGGCTGGAGTCGGGCCCGTAGGCCTGGGCGACCTCGAGCTCGGAGATTTCGACGGCGAGATCATTCTTGTGGACTTGCAGCGTGTCGGAGACGCGGCCGATGGTGGTGACTGTCGAGGGGTGCGCGAAGAGGTGGTTCAGGTGGTCGATGGGGTCGTAGTCGGCTGCCTTGAGGGTGAGATTGCAGTCTGGCAGGGGCAGTCAATTGGGGAGTTTACCTGCATCGAGTGATGTTTTGTCAGCGATTGAAGTCCCGTTCATGGTGGCGGAGACAATGAACAGAGTCGGCGGATTTGCACGGCGTTCTTGGGCTCAGAGGATTGCGGATCGTTGCAGCTGACGGAATCCCTGAAGCCAGGTTGGAAGGAGCTCCGTGTCTCGATGTCGTCACGTGTCAAGACGGGATGCAGGGATTCTGCGACAGGACCCGCCTGGCCAATCGGCAGCTATGCCGGACGCCCTACGAGCTTCTCGAAGCCGGCTCCGGTGCTTCTTTTTTCGGATCGTCCCACCTCGAAAGTCTGGGGAAGATTGGATTCATCGAAACAACCTTAGGACGACGTCTTGCAAATAATTCTCCATCGTGCATGCGCATCGTCGTTGGAATGATGCGAGACTGTGTTGTGGTCGCAGCCCAGGGGTCATTGGTGCTTTCTGACCATGGGCCAAGTCAATTACACTCGCATGGATTCAGTTCTTCTTTGCAGGGCACGATCCAGAGCGACAAGGTCCACTGTCAGAGACGGCCGAATACAGAGAGGGGGGACATTCTCTTTCGCAAAATCCACCACAATCCAATTAGGACCGTCAAGTTGACCACCACTGAATGGCCCCTCACACATGGTGGTCGTCACATCTCAGTATTCTTACCGACTGAATTGAGAAATGACCTTGCCAGAAGCGCGGCACACCGGATACTGGACCCAATCAATCACAACCAGCGACTTCTTCGTGTAACATTGCGCTTACGAGTCTCAATTCAACTATCAAAAGTGAAGGTGCTTTGGCGCCTTCTTCCGTTTAGCTGTGGTACCAGTCGGGAAAGGTGCTACGAGGTAGTCTCTTTGCAAACAGGTACGAGAACCCCAAGAGGGCAGGTGACAACCCTGTAGGCGTCAGCGAAATGGCAAGAGCATCATCGGCATCCATGGATGCCGTCACCGCCAACAGCAATGACAGCCAAAATATATCGACTTTGCCACTTTGCCCTTAAACTACCTACAACCCCGAACCTCCAACTTCGCCTTGCCAAGCAGCTGACACCAGAACCATTGAACTAAAGCCAGGCTATTTTTCCTCCACTACAACACGATAGTACCTCATTCGCCAGCATACGAACGAGCCTGCCTCATGCAAACTAACGACTAACATATTGCAGCGCGACGACACCACACAGCACGAATCGCAACACCTTTCCCTCCCACCCTCAACTTACTCAGTAATCAATTCCATCAGATAAGCTAACGTTCCATCAGTTCTCGTCTCGCCTGGATATCCCGACCCTTCGAACACCATCCAAAACACCGGGCCAGCGCACAACGCTCGATAGTTTGGAGGAGTGCCGTGGCAGCTGGGCACGAACCAACCAATTCCTCCATCATCGGACGGCAGATGGACACCATCACGCTCTACCCGAACTTACCACCAGTTGACTCGGACCACTGCCGATGCCTGGAACACGAACGACAAGCCATCTAGGTTCACGACTCGTCAGCCGGTCGACCGCATCGCATCATTCTCGCCCGATGATTCCGGCCCGGACCCATTAATCCATCTACTCGAGGTGCCTTCTGACCGTCTCGTCACGACTCGTCACAAAATAATTGCCGCCAAGTCATCCTCACCTTGCAAACATCAATCTCTCCCAGCCGGTGACAGTCATCGCCCCGATCCGACCCTCCGATCACCAGCTTCCCGCGGAGAACGTAAGAACACAGTCAGCACCGCGGTCCCAGATCCTGTCAATCCTCACATGTGAGCTCACAGCACATGCGCCCTCAGTCCCCGCCACCCGCCTTGATTCTTCAACAGACAAACCCACCCACCAACAACACCAACCCCTGCCCCCTGTAGCATACCCTGTCTAATGCCTTCCTTCACCTATCGACCACCAACAAGCACCTGCCTAACGATTTAACCCATCTTACGTACACCAAATCAACATCCAAATAAGCATTCTTCAACAAGCACCAATGACATAATTTTACCCCTCCGTGTCATCGCATCGTATCCGTACCCCCCTCCAAAATCCGATAGCCGAGTCATGTCACCTCTCCACCTCCACTCGAACAGCCCGCACATCGGCATCCCCACCCCGAGCACGACAACATCGGCCGCCGGCCGACCACCGCTCCCAACACACCGCATTCTTCACCTCCCCTCCTCCGACAAACCCCCAAAATCCGAGCGACGCCGTCGCAATCGCGAACAAACGCATCGCTGCCAGAAACGGCCCAAGCGGCCCGCCCGCCACGTGGGAGCACGCCCGACGCGCAACCCGAGTCATTTGTCTGCCCTCCGGTCCCCCGTGCTAAACGGCGTAGGCCGCCCAAACCGCGGCCCTAGCGCCGCTCGATGGCCTCGGAGGAGCAAAAGACGACCGCCTTAAAAAAAAAAGGAGTACGGCGTCGTCTCCTCCAGTGCGGGTTCTATATTGGGGCTTCAAACCCGCTCCGTCCCCTGATCCTCCCGCAGGACCGGGCGAAATGTGAGGCGGAAGAAGGCACTAACATGGCAAACTAGCCGGCCTCATTACTTGCTTTTGCTTTCGCAATCCAGTCTAAGAAGCGGATGCCAAACACACCGACATGGGAAAGGCCCTGGCATCGTCATCGTCGTCGTCGTTCCCGCATGAGTCTAGAATGCTCCCCAGAGACCCGGACGGAATGTCCTTCACCGCAACCCCCCGGATCATCTCACCTCATCTCACCTCAGGTAATGTAATCGACTCACCCATCATTCACCGACAGCCAACCTTTTCCAGACTATCGCTCCCGTGACATGCTCCCACGTGCGCCACACACCATCATCATCCTCTAGCCTGTGGTAACAACCCATCTAACACGCCCTCGAAAGAGCTAACACCACCACCACCATCACACCCACTCAAAATCACAAAGTGAACCACAACCCCCATTCCATCCGCACACACATTGAATCGCATGGACATAATCAACAATAACACCCCAAAATGTAACCCCAGCAAGCGGAACAAACCTCACACCCCCATCCTCGGACCCCAGCCCAATCACTCCCCCCATCCCCGATCGACATGCAATACATCCAACACCCATTCCAAAATCCCGACTGAACTGAATCACACCAAGCCGGAACAACACACACACACCACACCCCAGGGAAAGATCAGCCTGGCGTGCGCATCCGCATACCTTGTTCAGCTGTACATGGTCCATCACCGTTTTTACCGCCCCCAACCCCCTTCCCAAAGAAACACAATGCAAGGTCCTGCCTCCAGTGTAAACTCATCCGCCTGCCTGCCTAACCAGATCCCGCACCAGGAAAAAACAAGGAACCACCTCCCCTAAAATCCCCAACTGCAGGGCCGATCTACACCCAACCCACCACACCACACCACCACACACTCGTGACAGGGCAAAAACAACCGCATTGTCCCCAAACAAACATTCACAATCCCATGCCAAACAGTGTCTCTGTCTCTTCCGAAAAAAAGATACATACACAATCGCAATGCCAAATCTGCACATTTCACACCCACCTATCTTCCACATGGGTCGCCCAGCCAAAGCACAAGAGTAAAATCAAGGTTGGCCTGCAGTACAGTACCAACCACCCGACCCCGATTCCAAACGATCATCATCATCAGCAACCACCTCCACCACCACCCCTCGAATTGTATGTCTATGTAAATCACCCACCGAATCGAACCGCTCCCGTATCCCGGAGCTTACTCCGAGCCCGCCTACCTTAATACCCCCCCGCCACCGTACCGCCCAGCCTCGAGGTCCCTACCATCTCTGTCCAGCCTGCCCCATCCTCTAGGTAGCTACAGTTCCGCGGGATCTACGTGGGTTACCTCAATTTACCCAGCAGCACAGCACCACACACACCGGAGATACTGACAACAGAACCCCACACCCAACCGTGGTGCAGTGCAGTGCTGTGTGTTCCCGCCCCAATCACCCACCACACAAAAAAAATGAAATCTCACGATGGGGGGGGACCGCAGAGACAGGCAGTCAAATTGTGAAACACAAGATAGAATGTTCAACGAGAAACCGCCTCTCTTTTTCGAGGGAATATATTGAGGAAAAAGGCGGTCTACAAAGCGCCCAACGGTACAAAAAAATCCAAAATAACGCCCCTCCCCCCGCCGCAGCCAATCCACCGCTCCCTCCCGTTCTATATTGTGAGTCATGATCAAAGACAATTGTTTCCCCAAGCTGTCGACCAATTTGAAATACACACACATACACAGAGAGACAGACAGCAGTCAGTCAGTCAGTCAGTTCAATGATGCCATGCCCAAAACAATGTTTCCGCTACACCGCCCCTTGTTCCAATCTTCGTACGTCCATGCGGGATATCATCAGCCGTCCGAGATTCTTTTTTTGGTATCCTCCTCTTCTTTCCGGTCCCCCTCCCCATCCCCGCCTCCGCACCCTCGTAAAAAGAGAAAAAAAAGAAAGCGTCAGTCGTGCCACCCGGGGAAAATGCTGGGGAATCCAGAAAAACAAAACATGAAATAGAACAAGGACGATCGTGATTGGACAAAAATGGAAACGTCAAAAGATGCATAAGAAAAAAGCCCCCAAATATGGACAGTGAACGCCAAATCGCCTCCGCCAGATGCTGCTGCTGGTCCCCTTCGTACGCCATGCAAATGCAGATTTCGTCGTCCGTAGAAGCTTCGGCCCGCCAGGCCGATGATTGCCGATGCGCATGTCTTGTCGGCAGAACTGTTGCTGTTGCTGGAGAGATGCAGATGAAATACAGAGCGGGAAAAAAAAAGACCGTCGTTCGTAGGCGTCATATCCAGGGTAGGATCGCCACTCTCAGATGATAACGTCTCCCCGATCAGGAGCTGTGCAGAGCCCTGAAACCAGTCGCGATGAGACTGCGGGAGCTGTCCTTGGCATCTAATGGTCCGCTCCAGTAAAAGAGCCCCTGTCGAATGCTGTCAGCGACTTTGTAACCTTTATTGCAGTTTACGGTCAGGCACATTACCCCCAAGCTCTTTGATTTGCAGAAAGCCGCCTTCATTTTTACCGTGTCGGGGTTGT